ATGATGGCTGCATATGTGCAAATGTGCTTGACACAATGGATGAATGTACGGATTGGGATAAGAGATGTAAGAGCCCCCAATAAAGTATTTGATAATAAAAAAAAACCCTCAAATGTTGTAGTTATGCACCTGCACAATGGACTTTCTTTTCTCCTGGGCGTTAAAAACCTCAAACATATACAGGGTGTTTGTGTTTTTGCTTCTCTTTAACACAGTGCCATGGAGAGAAGAGGCTCTCAAGAAACATTTGCCAACCTAGAGACACAGTAAACTTTAAAAGCTTTGAAGATCAAAGTCACTTGTCATTTTACAGAGAAGAATTTATGAGCAATAAGTACTAAACCTTAGTCTTGTCTCACTCTTTGTCCTAATACTTGATTCCACTAATAAACTGCCTGGAAAAATAAGTGAACACGGTAATAAGACCTTCTTGCCACTCCCGCAAACCATGCAGCCAACTAGCTCACTGTTAGCTGGGAGAGACGCAGGACAAGAATTACGCTGTCAATGAAGCTATTTCGGCCATGTGCTCCAATGACGACCCACAAGGAGCTCTGCTCAAGCTGCTGCCAATGGAAAAGAAGCTGGATAATGTCACCTCTCCCATTCGTTCTCCTGGAGATGCTAACAATTAGACAGTTACAAACAAATAAGAGGGGGCACCCACAATCAGAACAAGGAAAGTCTAAAACATTTCAAGGAGGAGCTGGGGAAAGCCTGTTAATTAACTACGAAAAGGGCGGCTATTACGTAACAGAGAACCAGAAGTAGGGAGGCAGCTCACCACACATTTTCTTGCAGCCAACCATCAACAAACACAAATAGGACAAGGCACAGCACCAAGACCCCGCTCTCGCACAGTGAACCAGAAAAGTGAGTTCAGAAGGTAACCCCTCATTAACCTAACCTTTAAGTACACTATGCAGCCATCCTTCAATCTCAAAATTGTTTCACTTCCCAGATTTCCCTCTTGGAGAATTCATTTTCTCACAATGGGAAAAAATTCACTTGCCTGTCAAACCCAGCATGCCTGGATTATAATCAGACTGTAGCCTCCTCCTACTCCCCACCAAACTGGCCCTGTTTCACATCCTGCATCTCTGGGACACCACCGTGCTTGACACTTCCCATCCTTCATCACCCCGACGACAACTCATCACCAAATCTTGCCAACTTCGGCTCCCATTGCCTCCCAACTCACCCACCATTGGCTCTCGCCTGGCTGCCTCCATAGCCCAGGTCTGCTCTGCTCCCTTCAGCCGGGAAATCTGATCATGTCATGGTTATGTTACACTGTTCATCCTTTGACGGTTCCTCTCTTCTCTTAGGACCCAGAGCAAAATCTGCTACAGAGTCTACAAAGCCCTGTGTGGCCTGACTTGACCCCCAAAGCCCCGCTCCAGCTTCATGCATGTCACCCTCCCCTGCGGTCTGGCTTGGTCTTCTTTCAGTGCCTTGAGCAAGCTATGGTCCTTGGTCTTTGAGGACCACCCCACCCCCTCCATACACACACACCATGTGCTTGGATGTCTTTACGGCCTAGCTTGGGCCAACTTCTCAATTGTGTGATGTTTGAGCCACGGTTGCAACCACAGTGCCAATCAATCTTATTGACAGTCTGCCTCTGTTGCTGCCCTTCTGTCCACTTTACCAAGCATGATGCCCTTTCTAGGCATTGGTCTCTCCTGACAACAGGTCCACAGCATGAGACCGTCTCGCCCGCCTCACTCCCAGGACAGACTTGTTTGTACTTTTGGAACTCCATGGTACTGTGCCTATATCCTAGACCATAGTACTACTGCAACGAGTCTTCTCCGGTCTTCCTTGTTCAGTGTCTAGCTTTCACATGCGGATGAGGTCATGGAAATACCAGGGCTTGGGTCAGGTGTACCCTAGTCCTCAAAGTGACCTCCCGCTCTTCAGCACTTTAAAGAGGTCTGTACGGCAGATCTGCCCAGTGCAATGCTTTGTTTAGCTCCCTGACTGCTCCTCCCATGAGCATTGACTGTGGATCCAAGAAGGATGAAATCTTTGGCAACTTCACCCATTTCCCCCACAGTTATCATTGAATTCGATTCATAACCGTTGACAAGGTGAGAAACCCTGACCTTGGAGCTGCATCTGGTTTGACCCCGTATCTGCCGCTTACTTACTACTGTGTGCCCTGGTCTCTTGTCAATAGGGTCATCGAGTACCTTCATAGTGCACAGAGCTAAGTCCTGGCCTACTGAGGCAAAGATTGGCGGCTCCAATCTCCCCAGAGGGAAGGCCTGGCAATTTGCTTCTGAAAGGTCACTGTCTCAACAAGCACCCGGCACACGGTTTGATTCTGCGCACACGGGGTTTCCCCGAGTTAGAACGGACTTGACAACAACCTAACGACAGCATCAAAGCGGACACACTGTCTCTATGTCTAACTGAGCTTGCTCGGAACCACACACACGTTCATTTGCTTACATATCGACGTAGGTGCTTTTTATATGTCAATGACGGAATTGAGTAGTTGCATCCAGAGCCCAGAGGGCCCTTCAAGACCACACTATGTATCACTTTGCCATCTATCTATGCACATTTAAATACTACCGTTAATCCCAGACAAACTCCTGTCAGCACAAAAACTATAGGCTACCATATAGATGAACCTAGAAACCATTATGCCAAATGAAAGATGCTAATAACAAAAGATCACATTTTATACGATTCACTTCATGAGAAACATTGAGAAAAAGTCCATCTATAGAGACAGAAAGTGGATGAACTATTTCTAATGTTGGAGTCGGGGGTTAGGGGGTTGTTCCTGGAGACTGGAAGCTCAAGTCCACCCAGAGGGGCCTCTGAAGAAGGCCTGATGCTCTCCTTCCAGAAAACTCAAGCTCTTGGAAACCCCAGGGAGCACAATTGGTGTCCACGTGAGCCAGGCTCCACTCCGCAGCAACTGACAAGGCTGGAGGGGTTGACCTGGAGGGGTGGGGATGATGGCCAAAAGGTATGATGACAAAATAGTCCTTGGTGATAGTCGCCCACCTCTTTGACCACACAAAACCACCAAGCTGTTCACTTCTATGTGTGACCTGTGTCGTAGGTGAATATATCTCAATAAAACTGTCACCAAAAAATACATACTTGATACTACTTGGGAGCCTTGAATTTCATTAACAAGACCTCTTCTCATTCACCTGCCTTTGCTCCTCAACTGGCTTAGGCAGGCGTCCTCAAACTATAGCCCCCGGGCCACATGTGGCCCGCCGAGGACATTTATCTGGCCCGCCGGGTGTTTTTGCCCTATTTGTTTTTTTACTTCAAAATAAGACATATGCAGTGTGCATAGAAATTTGTTCATAGTTGTTTTTGTTTTTTTTTTAAACTATAATCCAGCCCTCCAATGGGTCTGAGGGACAGTGAACTGGCCCCCTGTTTAAAAAAGTTTGAGGACCCCTGGCTTAGAGCATCTAGCAAAATGCTTTCCAGGTTCAGTAAATACTCATTCAATGAGCGGTCACCCGGACAAGCAGAAGAGAATGGGTGTTTGTTATGTTTGGTTTCCTCCTCCCCCCCACCCCCTCAAAAGTAGAGGTTTATGTACTTAAGTGGGTTGGGAAAATATATGATATAAAATAAAGGATCACTACTTTGGTCCTTAGCATGAAGAATCCAGTAACTGCATGTTGCCGCACGAGTGAGCCACACCTTTCTTTATACAAGCACCTGAGATTTTTGACACTGAAGCTTTTGTTTCCACCCTCCCTGGAACATGGCTCCTGGCTCCATGAGTAAGCAAGCCTTGTATTTCTAGTGCATGGAAATGAGCCCACAACATCAGATAAGGCACCCAGGAGCTGGGGTGCTATTCGTTGCTCCCCTTCCTCACCCTCATCTGAGTCATCTGAGTTTCTCAATAAATACCCATGGAATGAATAGGTGCGAGATTACCATAGTGTCACTAAGGGCGGGGGTGGGGGTGGGGGGGTTGGATCTCACTGGGTGACACTGTCAGAGTGGCTGTCTATGGAGTGGCTGTCTACGTAATTTTTGTGCAGTGTTTCAACAGAAGTTAATGCTAAAAAATAAACATATCCCCATTTTTCATAAGCCCAGCTTAAATGTATCGATCTACCTTCAAGGCTAAAGCTAATTTGCTTTTTGATCCTTCCAGTGGGCTCTCGTCAGAGCTGTCACTGCTGCCCAGAGACAGCACGGCATCACACAGCTTCCCCTGCCTGCACTACAAACACACGTGGTGCCAAAATCATAATCATAATTACTGGTTTTGTCAAATTGTCTGGTACTTTAACTACAATTTTGTGGTAATTAGTATTTGTGAGCGTATCATTGATAACTTTGTGTAGCATGAAGGCTAATTAAAGGAAAAGAATGAGAGGATTTTCTAACAATGTTGTAAATAATAATGTTGTGATTCAACATAGGAAGGTTTCACAAAACAATTTTTGTTGTCGGTTCTCTTATAATCTAAGGGATACGACATGGAAACAACATACTACTATATCGCAAAGAAGGGGGCTTTGAAAAGTTTGTGAAAAACTGAAATGAAAAAGTAATGGAATTTTGCCTTGAACTTTTGGAAGCCCTATTGTAATGGTCTATGATTAAACTGATAATGAACATCACCAGGGATTCTGTATGGTCTGAAATGGGAGGAGGTGGGAGGAGGGGGGACTGGAGCACCAACCCCAGTGGGCCACAGCAGGGTGGCTCTCCTTTAAACACAGCAGTATTGCTTCTTAGTATCTTTTGTCTGCCCCATAAAACAGTGATTTTCTTTGAAAATCAAGCCATGTAAGTTATGTGGTGAGTAAGCAATCCAATTCTCAGCACCTCTGACTTCTGAATGCAAAAGAATCAGACAGCACTGAAGAGATATGTGCTGTGATTACAAACCTAAGATTATGACACCTTTGAGTCCCCACCAACCTCTTAATGTATTCTTTAAAATACAGGTTTCTTGGCCCAACCCCCAGAGATTCTGATTCAGGTGGTTTGTACAGGACACTTTGAGAAACACCCTCTCTAAAGTGACCATGAATTTACATGTGGTACTTATTCTGGACACAACACAAGGGCACAGGAAGAGCCTGTAAAAACAGGGCTGACATGGTAAACTCTAAGGTATTAGTATAATGTAACTCAGGATAAATCTATTATAAGGTCTGAGTTTCCCAAGACACATTTGGAGGCCAGTCCTCTCCAGTGTGAAGTGGCAATTTAGAGAGAAGGAAAAATCACCTTGGCTCAGGATAGCCTTCCACGAGAGTCCTCTGGTGGGTGCTGTATATACTCGAGTACAAGCTGACACGAATATCAGCCGAGGCACCTGCACTTTCTTACCTACCATTCACCTCTCCACCCACCTGTAGGCTGACTTTTGCCCCAACCCCTCCTCTCTTAATTCTTGGTTAGACCACTGTGCTAGTTACGTAACTCCATGTCAACTAGATAAATAAGTAAAGGGGTGGAGTCTAGCCTGCCAATCAGGCCACAGCCTGATGATGCCTCCTTATGGGTGTGGCCTTCTCATGAGGATTCTGGGAACTTCCTCTCTTTCTCCCTGAAGGTGGGCCACACTCTCTTCTCTCTCTGCTTCACCTTCCTGTTGAAGAGCTACGCTCAGAGAGCTGGAGGAGCCACATGGAGACCCACCCCAGCACTGAAATGCTTCCACTGCCATTGGATCCATAAGACTTTGCACCCACTGGCCCGTGATCTTCCTGAATTTTGTATTATTGTATGTGATTGCGTGAGTCTGAAGAAGGATTTATGGACTGGTATTGGACTTACGGGCTAATATTGGACTTAAGGACTTACTCTGGACTGGGCTGGAATGTTTTCTTAATCTACAATTACTCTGATATAAAGCTCTTTCTTATACATATATGACTGTCTCTGGATTTGTTTCTTTAGTCAACCTGATCTAGTACAACCACCTAGTATTCACTGGCTAGCTTAGAAACTTCTGAAATTGCTAACTACACCCTTCATGCAATCCTCATCTTCTTTAGATCCCATACCCCACTTCTCTGGGTTTCTTCAGACTTCTCTGGACATCCTTTCTCAGGTGCATGATGAGCCTGTTTTCTCTTCTCACCTCTATAATGTTCTGCTTGGCTCTTCTTCTTCTTTTATAGAGTGTATTTTCATCTACTCCAGTGGAACAAGTTACACTTTCTAGATTGATGCCTCCAGAGTCTTTACTTTTCAGCCCAGTTACCTGTCTGTGCTGAGCTTCATATCCCCAAACTCTTCTGGACAACTCCACTTGGATGTTCCATAGGGACTTCAAGTGCAACACTTCGGGACTGAATCATCATCTCTAACCAAATTCCTCCTCCACCAAAGTTGCCTTCTTTTTCGTTCAATGAATGCTTCCATCATCCATTCATTTGTCCCAGCTCATCAACTCCGGTGTTTTGGCAAGGGTTTCCATGTTTCTCAGCTGGGGGGGCAGGGGGGATGATGCTTGTGTTCTGCATTTGAGCCAGGTGCCTTTCAGATTGTAACACAACACCCGCTAATGCACCAGGTAGTCCCTAGGCAACGACCGAAAAAAAACAATTCACGGCAGTAAGTGCTGCTGCGCTCCAGACAGAATGGAGTTTGCAGGAGGAAGTGCAGGTGTGGGGCTCTTCCTCTGGCCTGTCCTTCAGGTCGCAGGTAGCACACATGGCTGCAGACCCACATCAACCAGCAGGCAGGACTCACCCAGAACAGCGTCAGAATTCCTAGAAAGCAAGGTAAGCACAGCATACTTGTGCTTACTTACTAATCTGTAGTGCACAATTTCACACTTTTCATCATATCAGAGATCCTACTTCTAGATAGAGTTGGCCTCTCTCTCTCTCTCTCTCTCAGGTTCACGGCATCTTCCTACAGAATCAAAGCCTCTTTACAAATTTACCATCCCTGATCGGGGCAGAACAACAGTAAGCAAGATAAGCACAGGCTCACTTGTGTTTACCTACTAATCTTAATGAGCCGTTTCACATGTTTTCACCATTATTGCGTAATCCACCCCTGATCCAGAACCCAATGTCTCGTCTCCAAAGAAACACGCTTACAGACCTTCAAGGATCGCGTTCACAGCCGCTTATCCACTACTTCAAGCGTATCCCAACACCACCAAGCTCACTGCCATCAAGTTGATTTCAATGCGCCGTGGCCCAATGAGGCAGAACAGAATTTCCCCTCTGGATTTCTGAGACTTCAGATCTTTACGGGCATAGATGCCTCCTTTTTCTCCCGGGGAGCAGCTGGTGGGCTCGAAGAGCTGAGTTTGCGATGTGTACCCCACTATGCCACCAGGGTCCTTTCCACAAACACCGGGTGGAGCCAATGTCCGCTTTCGAGCACCTTGAGGAACACAAGTGAAGTTATCCTTACCAACATTTCCCCCAGCGTCTTAGGAAAGCAGTCACTCAGCGGAACTGGACTCATCAGTGTGTCAGATGAGGGAAGTCACCTCTTGAAAAGGAGCATGAGAGCAGCTTCCAGTTTTCAGAGCGTAAATCCACACCCTAAACCTGTCTCAAGATTGCCAGGCGGGCTTTCCCAGGTTCCCATGTGCAAGAGGAAATTCGGTGGAGTTTTATTTTTTTCCTAACACATTGCTTCAAATACTAAATAACGATACCACTTCCCAACACGCACGTACACACTAAAGCCCAGAAAACCTTGTCTCTCTCCTGGGACTAATTAAAAAGGATTTTGATTTCTATAAGGAATGAATGAGATCTTTGTTAACCCACTTTAACAGGGCTCCAAATGACCCTGGATTTATCTTGCCCTAGTTTTAAAAAGGTAACTGACCCAGAATAAAGTAAGCTTATACCCAAACCCCTGGAAAAAGACAGAACCCACATTCCCAGAAGCCAAAATTTTACATACAATCTAAGAAGAGGAAAGAAGGAGGAAAACGAAAACTCGAGAAAGATGTACAATGCACACATCTCAAGAGCTCTTTCTTTTCCTTCTTTTAATTGGGATGTTTTTAAAGATTATAGAGCCTCACATTACCAAGGGAAACACCTCTGTAGAAAACTCGGCAAAAGACAGGATCAGCTCCCATGGAATCAGAAGCGCTCTGGAAGTCTGTCTTTATCGCACGGTCTGAATAGCCATGGATTATAACTGGCTTGTTTTATTTTCTCTGGGTGTAATCACCACCTCGCCAGAACGGCCTCAGGGATTGGTTTACGTTATTAATAACAATCGAGCAGTCTGGATTGTTAGCAAAAACGTCCCTCCCACATGCCCTTTGTTTCCTCCTCATTTGTTATTGCCATCTAAATTCACTTGACAGATCTTGCTTGGGGTGGGGGTGGGGGACCAACCCTGGAACCCCACCCCTAAATCTTTTTATTAACCCTATTTCTCCTTGGACTTCACATGGTTTCATTCACTTAGATACTAAGGTTGATCAAGTTTTCTCTCAGAAATACGACGCGTCAGCACGATGGCGCCCAAAACATTACAGACACCCCTCACAGCCGCATACCCAAAGATAGCGATGTTTCTATTGTAAGTGATTGATTTTCCTAAACTCTGGACTGTTCAGATTCAGGATACTTTAGAGACTTTTTTTTAATATAGGAATGATCACTCACTTATGCATTATACAACTATTGACTGCAAATCTAAAATATGCCAGGAGCCCCGTTGGCAAACTGTGGGAGGACCCACTATGGGGCACCAGCCTTGCATTCCCTGTAGATGCTCCTCTGGTGTGTGCTGCAGCAGGTGAGGTCCACAGACCAGCGGAAACTCGAGGGTCAAGAACAAGGATGAGCGGTTGGGGAAGATGACAAACTCCAGGGCAGATCTTGCCCGGAGGTTTGATTCTGACCCACAGAAGGTCATAGAACTTGTTTCCCAAGTGAGTGGTCTATCTGCTGACAACCAGTCGATCCCAACTCCTAGCGATCCTAGATAGAGTTTGTTTATTCTCCGCCTCTCAAAGACTGACACCTAAGAAATGCCAGACAACATTTCCACCGTATTTTGGTTGAATTTGCAGGCTGGATATCAAAATTAGGCACCTGACCCTGTAAAGTGAAGGACTTTCACCCATGTCATAACATTGGTTGGACCTGCCACCCAAGAAACGTCTAACTGCACTGTAGTCAGCCTCCTTTCCAATGCGATCAACAGCCACAGCACACCTGGAAGCCTGCTTCTTAAAGGCCCTTTCTCTTTGACCCTCTCCCATCTACCCTACTGCACCTGGTAGGGACTCACTACTTATGGAACAGCAACAAAAATAAAGTTAAATATTTTACTGCATTATTGTGCCTGTAATCGAATTGACGGCAGATGGATCATTTCTAATATGAATAAGGCTAATACATCCATGGAAAGCTTTCCTTGCAGATGGCTACTCAACGAATCGCGAGTACTTTTAAATGGACCAATAATCCAACCACAGAGGGTCCTGTTTCACCGCGGAGCCCTATCTCGTGACAGTGCGTACCCAGAAGGCATGGAGGGGGTTGGCTTGTTAAATTTTTTTTAATCTTTTAAAATATGTCACCTAGATGCTAGCAGCACTAAATAAAACATGTGCGCCTTGTCTGAAATGACACAGGAGCAGGGCTGCACCCAGGGTTCCACGCAGGTTCATGCAGATGGTTAATCATTCACTGGCATCTTGGCAGGACTGCTTGAAAGCTGACTCCTGTGTGGCAGCAAAGGCAACAGAACACACACTCCTTGTGAGGTCCTGTGTCTAATTAATAGCGACATTCTGGATGTGAATGCAGGTTTTCGAAAGCATTGGTCTACGCCATTTTGTGGGGGGGGGAATTTTAACAACATAAATTGTGCCCTTTTTTAATCAACCCATTATAGTTAGTCACTAAACGGAAATATTTTAAATCTGAAAATATGTAAGGGAAAGAGTCGGAGGCAGTTCAGAAATGGCTATTTAAATAACGACAGAAATGTCGTTAAAAGCCTTAGGGTGAGCCAACCTCACCAGCCAGTTTCCAGTCATTATTAGGGTGACTTTCAAATGGGTCCTCCACCTGTGTCACCCTCTTAGGCTTTCCCCAGTGCAGGAAGTTCCCAGGGACCCTTTGTGACCGTACCTTTCAGTTACCACACTTTATTTTAAGCAAATTAATGTGAAATCATACTTAATGGTCTTACTACTTGATGCTAGTAAAATCATAGTAAAAACACTAAATAAAAAGCTCAGCAATTTGGACATTAAATCCATGACTACTGCGGTTACAGAGTCCCATCGAGTCTTTCATCTACAAATTTTCATATGTGCAGACGCTTGCTGCAACCCAAGTCCAGACAAACCTGACCTAACATTCAGATATTGGCAGGTGCTTCAGAAGCGGTTTCTCCAACTCCATTCTCTTGCCCGTCTGAATTTCTTAGACGTTGAAGCTAGATTTATCCCCCAAACCCCCTCTGGCCTCGGACCCTAGAACTCACTCCCAAGCCCCTTCTCTAGCTCCCCGCTGGCCTGCGTGCAATAGGAGCCTGGTTGGTCAGAGGCATCAGCCTTTCCACAGGAGAAAGACGAGGCTTCCTGCTCCCGAAGAGATCCACAAAGCCGTGGAAGCCCACAGCAGCTCATTACGGGTCGGATCTGACACGATGAAGGTGGATCTGTGTTTCGTTTGGCTTGAAACCAAAATAAAACACACAAAAATCCCCAAACTCTTCACATTTGAATTCAGCTCCCTCAAGGGTTTTAATCTCAGAAAAATTCCTGAAGAGATTTCTAATATAGCCTCACACTATATTAAATAACAGAGAAAGTTCTTTCCAACTTTAAAATGCTATGAGCTGATCCCAAGGGCTAGAGAAAGTAACTGTCTAGAAAAGAACGATGGCAGTATATGTACAAATATGTCTGATACAATTGATGTGTGGATTGGTACAAGAGTTATAAGAGCCCCCAATAAAGTGATCTTAAAAAAATGCTATGATAATTTTCCAATTTTTTTCTCTTGCTGTTTTCATCCTATCGAGTCCATACTTTGAGAGAAAGATGGGGTTTCTACTCCTGTAAAGAGTTACAGGTTAGGAAACACTCAGAGGCCATTGATGCAATGGCAGTGTTTGTTTTTGTTTTTTATTCAATACTTAAACTTTTTTTTTTGTCACACACAGATGCCCCATGTGGGGCTTTATTGGTTCATGTAAACATTTTGTCTTGAACATACTTCACCCATTCCCACCTAAAAATCTGAGCAGAGATATTGTTTCAGACAAAATATAAATCCCTATTTCCTAGGATTAAAGAGAAAGAAACTAAAATTTAATAAACACCTATATTCCAGCCAAGGAATCCTGGTGATACAGTGGTTATGCCGCAGGCAACTGTGAACT